ACCCTCCTTCCCGGAGATCCCGGAGAGCCTCGGGAAAATCCGCCGTTTTTTTCTCCTCCGGGGCCCCGGAGGCCGACAAACGAGTCAGCCGATTTTCAATTTGCTCTACGGGCCCCGAGTTTGCCTTTCTGCCTTCTTCAGATCAGAGTTAAGTAATCCCGGAGGCGAAACTGGCGGTCTTTTTCTCGAGGGCGAGACGAGAGTTGCGTGGGATTTTTGGAATGCGAAAAATAAATTCGACAGTTACACAGAGGAATGCTAAATTAAACCGACAGTCCTCTGGGAGGAGGAATTGTTGCTGGCCTGCACAATATTTTCTCTCTCGTCTATAACGACTGCCGCCGCTGCGTTACGGATTTCCCCGCGTTTACACACGGCTCTTGAAACCCACAAGTTTCTATTCGTCAGGATGCAGCTTTTAACGGCGCGGAAAAGCGCAGAGGGAGAAGGAAACGTCTAGAGAGAAAGAGAGAGAGAGAGAGAGAACTCGTCAGGAGTCTCCCGCTCGCACTCTGACCCCGCAAACTCGTTTCCCGACGACGATATCGCACCGCAGACCGGAATAAAGTGCGCGACATCGCAGGGGCGACAGAGCCGATATAATCCGATTTTACGAGGAGGGCCCCGCGGTGGGTACGGAAAGGAAAAGAGGGAGAAAGAGAGAGTGCGACAGGGTGAGGAGATGCGGGAGGGAGATGCTATCGGGCCCCGCGCGCCGGTTCCAGACGATATAAACTTAGACGCGAATTAGTAGTGCCGCGATAGCATCTCATTTTCGAGAGGCGAGCGTGCGATCAGGAATTTATCGAGAAATTAAATTAGGAATTATGCTAATACCCCCCTCCCTCCCCCCGTCCTCTCCTCTCCTTCTCCCTCCATCGCCCTATATAGACGAGGCACCGAACCGAAGCCGACCGCCATGAATGAGAGTGGCGGTGGCGGCGTCACGTTTCGCCCAGTTATTTACGCGTTATTTGCGCCATCCAATTAAAGGCACCTTTCGTAAGACCATCTCTCGTATACGCGGGCGTTGCAACGTAATTTGCTGGATCGACGTTGCGCGTTTCTTTGAATTTCGCTTCCAGAATTTACGCAAATGTAGATTTAAAACGTTTTTTTTTTTCAAACTTGAGCTCAACGTTTAACATTAAAATAATTTGATTTTTGATAGATATGGCTTTATGAAAGTGAGTAAAACATGTATCCGAATTTTCCCGTTCCCTTACCTTCAATAACTTTTGTTTTTCAAGCGAGTGAAAATCAGGAAAAGTTGAACGTCAAGAGCACGTTACATATATGTTGTATGTTTCTTACTTTTATTAAAAGAATCCCTATATAAGTTCGAACTTTCTTTCCTCTCCAACCTTGGCTCAAACCGAGGGGTCAACCAGTATTAAAAAATGTACAGTGATTGCCAATTATGGCAATACACTTTATTGCTAGTATTGCTATTGTATTGCTTTCGTATTGTCAGTAATATTGCCATTTATTATCTCATGTACTGCCATCTTTTGCACAATATTGCCAAGTATTGCTCGAGGTATTGCTGTGTATTAATAGCATATTGCTAGTATTGTATTGCCACAATACTAGCAATATATTCCTAAAAAAAATGTACACACGGAAAGGACGATTTTGCTGGAAGGTCTAAAAATTTTGCTAAACACAGATCTGAAAATAATTCTTGTTGAATCATCAAAATGATTTTGTTGGAAAGTCAAAAATGATAAGCATTTTTAACTTTCCAACAAAATTATTTTGATTGTATAACAAAAATTATTTTCAGCTCTGAATTCTGCAAAATCGTTCTTTGCGTGCACTGATTTCCATAGTGGTTGACCCCTCGGCTCGAACCTTCCGTCCTCATATTATAGATTACAGTAAATTATATGACAGATTGCGCCTCTATTAAAAATTTAGATAATTTAAATTTATTTATAAGAAAAAAAATTTTTGCTTGCGTCTTCAATGAGAAGAGTAGCTGAAGTCGTTGATCCCAATTTTATAGCATCACCGGCCGACACGAGGAAGATAACGTGGCGAAGGCGCGGCTAGTTTTATTAATCGGCCGGCCCGTAAATAAGATTTACTTCGAAATTCCGTGGCGGTCACCGAGATCGATTCGTCTCCGCTTTTCGTGAGACAACGGCGACTCACGTAGGACCATCCGCAGATAGAATCTCTTCACATTCCTGGCATTTTTTATAATCCTTGACGTTGATCTCGACACGAACGACACGAGCATGAAAAAATCTAGTCATAGCCGTTGTGTTGATTATGATTATTAAGTATAATGTTTTAAAGGACAAGAAGTGCGGCTGTGAAATGTTTTACAAAATGCTTACTATATATCACATATAATAATATAAAGTTTATATGCATATAGTGTGAACATTAGACTTATAAAATGTATTTTCATTGGTTATTTTATTAGGTAATATATATTTCGTTAAAAATGCAATATGTTGAGCTATAATAACGTCATTAAAAACTGATAAACGTTCATTCTTTATCTGGCCTTTCGCTCCTGCTTTTGCATCCGACTACTTTCTACGTCGAAAAAGACGCCCGATTGAATTTAACATATTAACGTTTACCGTTATAAAAAAAACTGAAAAAAGTAACGGAGACGAAAATTGATTTGAGAGATTATCGCGAAGATATAAGTGGGATGATAAATTGCACGGAGATAATTATTAATTATTCCCATCGGGGGGTTAAATCGTTGAAGCTTCCAACATTTAAGAGATTTCTCTCTCCCTTCCCCTCCCCTCCGCCCGCTCCCCCTCGACTCCACGTGGTCGTCGAGGAAAGAAAAGAAAGAGAGAGAGAGAAGCGTCGATCCCGGAGAGACGCGAAGTAAGTGTCATGGCGATGGGGCTTCGAAATAAATGTCTCCTACACGCGATGAGTCACAAATTCTAATGAAAATAATAATACCCGAAAGATTCTGTTCTTTCGTGGCCGCGCAACGAGGATAAATTTACTGCGCGATCTACGGACGGATAAGGCATACCTGGGGACACCTCCGTCCGGTTATAGGTTCCACCATGTAACGGGTGGTACGAAAGAGATCTTTACGATAGATTCGGCCCTACATTGTTCGAATCTCGAGTCTCTTTATGCGACGATGCAGAAATGATGCGCGCGGTCTGACTAATTAAAAAATCGTACACAGAAAAAAATGGTGTATTAACAGCATTAACCCGATAACGGTCGACTGAATTGAAAATAATCTTGTTAATTTATCAACAGTATTAATGAAACGAATATGCCATGCTCTTATTTTAATAAAATGTTATTTGTTTCATTAATATTATTATTGAATTGAATAAAATTATTATCAATTAGACTGCTGTTGGCTAATGCATGATAATACAATCTACTTTTCCGTGTAACTTTCGTAAAGAAACTAAAAACTATCGATATATTTACGATTATATTAATCGATGAATAATATGAAAAAGAATGTTATATAATAATATGTGATGAATGCAGTTCTCTATAGATATTGCCTCAATATATATTATACAGATGCTTACTCTTATCGTATATACGACTGCAAAAGTCCCATTTCAATTAGGAAATTATGTTTTTGTGTAGAGATTTAATATTAATATAATCTTCTTGTAAGTTTATTTTTTATGCTGTATGAATTTTACGCCAAATTGTCTCGTCTATACAGACAGAGATGATTCTTTTATATCTACAGTGTCGAAATACGAACTTATTAGAAATCAGATTTGCATTAACTGAAATCCTGCCGCTATATATTGACAAACGTGTTTCTATTAAATTAGAAGAAATTTGAAAAAATATTTTATTTAAATAATTCGATATATCTATATTGAGAGAAAAATATAATATAATATCTCGATTTTGGTATTTTGTCTTAATTTTGCACGCAATTAAATCACGCTAGAAATTTTATGGCGATATACAGCAAAGTAAACGAAACGTTTATCAGCAGCTCCTCAAAGGTTACAATGTCGAGCTCAGGTATCTTCCGTGCTCCCTTATCACTTCGGTAGTTTCTCTCTCGTACTAAAGACCGGTTCTCGGAAACACCCCGTAGACAAGTGTCGCAGCACTTGCCTTGAACGGTGCGGTATCACCGGTCTCACGTCTAAACGACTTGTAAAACAAGCGCTTAACGATTGCTGGTACCTGGAGGAGATAGACAAAGAAGGAAAGTGAAAGACTGTGAGAGAGAGAGAGAGAGAGAGAAGAGTGAAGTAGAAAAGGCAGGCGAAGGAGGTTCGGCCGGGCCCGTAGGTCCCACGTGCTTCGAGGAGGTCCAGGCCGCTAAATTGAGTTTACGAGACGCCGAGAGCGTCTCTCTCGCCTTCTCTTCTCTCATACCCTTTCCCCCCTTCTTCCGTCTCTCTTCCCTCTCCGCTCTGCGCACCTCTTCAAGACCATACCCTGCCTCTCTGGCTCGTTGTGCCCGCCCTTAATTCACAAGTACGAAAGAGACTGGATATACCCTCTTCTCGGTACTTTACGCACCGACACCGGTGTTATCTTAAGCGATATTATTTCGATTCCCCTGCAGCCTCGGCCGATCGGCATCGCCGGTTCTACTCGCGAGGCGCTGCTTTAAACGTGACGCTCGCGCCTGCGAGTGCAATTAAATCGGGCCCCTGGGGATGTCTTTATAATGGAATGACGAAGAACGTGTCTCTAATGGGAATCGGTGAAGAACGTGTATTAATATTATACAATTTGCATTACTTTTAATGACGCAGCTTACACGTATTTAGTAATTTATTCGATACAATTAGTAAATTATTTGTTTTGAAGTAAATTTCTAAACAGAATTAATAATAACGCTCGTAATTATTAGTATTTTAGTTTTTGTATAAAGGATTAATAATTTTTCTTTTAATGTACGAGAATGCGACTGAAAGAAAAAGGAAATAAATGAATGATGAAAAAAGAGAGAGAGAGAGAGAAAGAGGAATTTGATAATGATGTAATTAGCATAACATCTCTTGAACATGGCGTATAATAATTATGTAATTAACATAATAATTTGTTTAAACCGGCTCGCGTCCAACCCGCCGTCTTTCACTTGCAACTTTTTTGTGCGTTACACGAAACGTATATCTTCGCAAAAAGAAGACCGGTTGTCTTTTTTGAAACGGCAAACGTCGCTTTACGATTTCAGTGGCCAGAGGGAGGACAAGACCCACGGTGGGGGTCTCGGGGACTCCAGCAGCGAGAGTGGCGACGAGACGAAGCGGCAATCCGGTCAGCAGCAGCAGCAACAGCCGTCTTCCTGCGCGGTTCAGCAACAGCAGCAGCAGCAGCAGCAACAAATGGTGGACCATCAGCAAACTTCCGGCATGTACCAACTTCCACCGCCAGCTTCCGTCTCGGTTTCCAGCCCGCACTCGTACCACCAAGGCCACGGCTCGACCTTGAGCCATCCGCACATGCAGCACCACGACACGAGCAGCGAGAGCGGCGACGACAAGAGGAACCTCCATCATCAGTTGCAGCATCACCTCCAGGTCGGCACCCACGGCGCCCACGGTTTGGTCCATCCTACCGCCACCTTGCCACCACCGCCGCCTAGCTGCGCCCAACAGAAAAGTCAGCTAGATTACATGCAATACTATCCGCAGGTAGGACGGAATAATCTTGAATGTTTATTTCCAATTCGCATGCGTTACTTTAATCTCTCCTGTAAAGCGAAACCACGAAGGATGAAAAAGTGTACTCTTTCTTTTTTTTAAGTATCTTTCGCATTCTCTTTGAAAATGAGGAAAAAGTATGCTATCGTTCTACAACAAAGAGAACTGGAAAATTATTATTCTCTCTCTGTTCTGGTATATGAAAAGAGTTAAAGAAAATTCCAAATTTATATATATATATATTTAAAAATGCTTGATATCTCGAAAATGTAATAATTACAGACTTTCTCGACGCAAGGGTATATGTTTTATATTAAAGCGACACATACATTTCTATTTTCTCGTGTAAGATGTGATACTTTCTTGTGTAGATCAGATTTTGTAAGATAGAGATCGGAAAAATATGAAAATTGTCTATGGCAGGATTATCTAATCGGCACGCCAACCTCCGCGGATCTCCAGAAGTCGTTGCCGCATACGGCGACGTCGATGCAGATGGGTGCGATCGCCCCTTCCATGGGCGGGCTGAGCCCGATGGGCCCCTCGACGATGCTGTCCAACACCATGCAGGGCGTCAACACCATGAACACCATGTCGATGAACGGCATGGGTATGGGCGCTTATCAAGGCATGGGCTCCATGGGGATGTCCACGTCGCACGCGAGTTACCACAGCGGCCTCGTGCTGGGCGAGTATCATTCGTTGTGACCTTGGGCCCCAAGCACTCAAAGCAAGAGGAGCCAAGAGAAGACTTAATGCACGTCGGCGGGGCGCTGAAGACTTCCGATCGATACAAGGTACTCGTGTGGCTTGCCGAAATTCGGATCGCCAATAAATTATTATGTGCTGAAGATTAGCGCTGAAATTAATTTAACACGGTCGTCGATTAGTAAACGTTATCATCAATTCAGAGCGATGATGTAACATTTATCGGTTTAATTTTTAGTTATTGAATAACCGTGAATTTCACTTGTATCAGAAAATATCTTTTTCATCGCGACGATAATTTCTTGACGATCCGATAATGTTCAGATAAGTGGTGAGGAAAGCCTTCTGCGGATATATCGTTGCATTATCCTTGAGCTTTTCTCGGTGTATGTTTAGAGCGTATGAAGAGCGTCAAATAGCCGTCTGTTAAATCGTCACGTTCGCGCCGGCATTCAGAACGACTCTTTTAAATTCTGTATACGAAACACATTCTTCCAGGATAAGAGAGAATATGTATGATAAATTATTATACTCGGCGAAAGCATTTTTGTCATTTTTTTTTTTTAACTGACTAATCCAAACTTGAAAAAGTGATAAGTGTTTATTTAAAGTATTGAATTAATTTCTGTTCAAGAATGTTTTGTTACTCGCCTGTGAAAATCCTTCAAATCTTTTCTCGAAAATAGAAAAATAATAGCTGAAGAATATCCGCTGAAGAATATCCATGAAAAATCAAAGGATGCCGAAGCGACGATGACGTTTCCGAACGAAATAGCAAAAGACATATTAGCATTTTACTTTCCCAGTTCGTACACTCTCGCGGCAAGCCGGCTAGACCGGCTTGTGTTTACCACTATTTCCATAAGTAAACAACGGACGAAAAATCCCAGCCAGCTTTTCTGTCCCATCACCATACTTGGCGCCATACTTCTCTGATTTTTGCCCAAGTCGGAATAAATTTCACGATGAAGCGGCGTTTCTTTTCTTTTTCTATGCGAAATGCACGCGGAATACAAGCGAATGCAACTTACCCCTTGCCCCCCCCCCCACCCTCCTTCACTTCATATAGATTCAACCCAGTTAATTAATTTACTATATAATTATACGCTCCTCTTACACCATACGCTTTTGTGTTTGTCCTGTATGTACATATGTATAATACACACGGCATTCGGCATATATTATAAAGTTAATCTCGTTCATGTTCACTGCCTACCGGGTGTTCCCGTATTACCGTATTTGGATTCCATGGCGATGATTTGGAATTTTAAGCTTTGACGTTTGAACGAATAAAGGATAAGTTAATCATACTTTTCACATTCAATAGTTCGAATCTTTTAATTTAGAGTTTTTCATAGCTTATATATTTTTCTTAGTTCTTTATTATATCCTTATAAAGGATATGAAGGATATGTATAGTAAAATTTCTAGATGCACAACAGAAGATATAGATAATCCGAAACAGGTCGAATTTTGCGAGATGACTTATTATTATTAAGTCACATTCCATAGATGATTTGTGCATGGGACAAAACAGTTACTGTTGAAAAAAAAAACTCCGTTGTCACAAAAATATATCACATCTTAATTATTAATATAGAAAAGTCAAGCTCATCGATATAATAACAAATAAATATTCGTAAATTTACAATGATTATTACTGACAAAAAAAAATGTGATATTGCGTGGCGATTTAATTGACTAAAAAGGAGCTGGATGGATGCGAAGCTCTAGGGGTACCCCCAGTAGACAGTGAATACTGTCGTATAGGATAAGATAGCGTGTAAGTTATCATTTATTCGCAGTTCGCAGTCTGTACATAAGTATATCTAAGGACAGTGAGAAAGTGAGAGGGAGAACGAGAATGTTACGTGTGCGAAGAAAAAAAGGGAATGTAAAGGAGGAGAACAAAGGATATTACGCAAAGGTTTTGATCGAGGAAAAGACGGAAAAGTCGAGATATCGAGATGAATTCTTGATTCGTCGTTCAAAAGAACTGTGTGTTAAAGAGAACTGTATTAACCGCTTTCTTGCCAATGAACAGCTCAAAATTACTTCGTTTATTCTTCGCGATCTGTTTTATTTTTTCAAACACTAGCTTTTTCTTTTCGAGCAAATAGGCTTGAAAGTTTGATGACATGTTTATCACTTGTTTTCTTGTTTTTTTGTTTTTTATTTGATTGCGCTATGTAGCAAGATTATTTGCCAAGACTTGTATAAGGTCGCTTTTAAAGTGATCGAGGAGCGCTTATATTCATCTCCAATGTCGACTTTCCATTCGTGAGCTATCTCCGCGCGCGCAGATGTCCTAAATATTCCGTTAGCTACGACATTGCCTTGTAGATTCTTATCTAGGATGTCGAGGAGAAAGGATTTCCCTTATGAAAAAGTCCTCGGGACGAAACAGGGTAGAGAAATAGGATTGAGGTGAAGAGAGAGAGAAAGAGAGAGAGAGAGAGAAGGGCGACGTGAAAAATAATAATATCTTCGATCTACGGCGGAGCCGATCGGCGTTATTTTCATTTTGTATCTTTCACATTCGTCGTATAGTCTAAAATGTTTATTCGACAATTCGTAAGTGCCACATTACGTGTTACAATAGAGAATACTAACGGCCGATGAAAGAAGAACTATTACAATAGCATATAACATATCTCTTAATTAATGAAGGTACAACAGATAAATATACATAACAATAATAACTATTTTCGTGACGCAACTTTCTTTATTCACTATTTGACACGTTTAAGTGCGACAATTTTACATTCTACAAACGCGCACGCAATTCTTTTGAGTTATTTTTTTTTTTAATGGAACACAACTTTTTTATTTTATTTTATTTTTTTTATATGAAAACAGTATCGCCAGTCAATCTTTGAAAGCTCAATGTTAAAGCCAATCTCGTGTTAGATCGTACGTTTTATTAAATTATTAAATTAAATATAAGAATCGATTGAAACTCGTCCGTTGATAAATTAACGCGCTATAAATACTTCTGCGGTCTCGTTGACAGAATATTATACAACTGCACGTTTTAACCACGTTCTATACGGTTAGTTTTTCATATACAAGCACATGAGCATTGTTCTTTTTCTTAAACAGACAAATTTATTTGTAAAATTATGTAAACTGTTTTATAATGCTTCGGCTGATGAATGCTGCAACAACTGAAATATTACTAACAGAAATACAGCTATCATTTTACTCTCTCGCATTCGAGGCGGTTGTTTAAGAGCGTCTACCATGACGCAAGTTGTGTTGCACAAACGCGCAGCTTCCGAACAACTGCCACGATTTTCTTTCATAATTGCCACTTTTCCCCGGAAGTTGCTTCTTTCCCTTCATATATTCCGAGAGATATCCTTTTTCCAAACTTGCGAAACTTTCAATCGTGATCGAGAACTTGAGGAATTTTCTACGAAACGAACGCTGCGATTCGACCAAAGCTAAAGAATTTTAATTTGTACGGATAGGATGTTAATCGTAATCTCGACTCTTGCACAAATTACGCACTCGCACGCAACTCGCGCATACGAGAAGAAGGTGGGCAAAAGGAGGGCAGTCGAAGGAGCGAATGAATGAAAGGAGGAACTGCGAGCGCGCGCCGCAAGGACAGGGTATAATTGATGACCATCGTCTGGTCCTCTCCAGTTCTCATTCGTGTATTTTAGCGGACAAATCTAACGTTGCACAACTGAGAGACGAATTGCCGAGAGTGATCGTGAGTGCGATTATTCGTGAATGTGTGTGTGTGGTACTAGCGAGTGAGAGCTGTAGGTATGTGTGGATGCGCGTGTGTATACATGTGTATGTGTGTACGTATGTGTATGTGTGCACAGAGAGGGGTAGAAAGGAAGACGACGATGCGCAAGTAGATATAAGTAAGAGATCACGATGTACGATCGAATTGTAATCGAGTAAAGTTGATGTTATTTAAAGTAAACAAGCTGCCAGTTATCTGCGTTCACGCGCATACACGTCCTTTTACAGCATCCTGCGCATCCTCTTCTGTCGCAGCTCGTAGATGCTGCTGGTGTTCAATCGAAACTGGTAAGTAATACACATCGATATTTTTGAAGAACCAAGTAATTGTGCAATAAATTTTATAGAAACGAGATAAATAGAATACTAGAAAAAATATTTTATTATCTTTTTAAAAAGTAGAAATAGACGTTTTTTTTTCATTGAGTACGAAGAGTCGCGTACTGTAAAATTAATGTTAGTAAAATATAAATACGTAAAAGTCCGATGATTGAGAATAAAACGGATTTAAAAATTCTTATCAATTTTGCTGAATCTATTTCTTCGCGTTACGACAGTCGTGTTTCTATCGTTAACGATTGAACGTTCGCCCGTCGCACGTCGAGGTTCGGACTAGGACTGTTTTACTTCGAATGTTCGAAGTTAACTTCGACCTTTCGAAGTTTAAGGTGCCTTCGAAGTTTGAAAAATCAAGATTAATTTGTAATATTTCAGGTTATAATACTTTCAAATTTTTAAGGAGTAATTTCATATATTTTGAACATATACATATATTCTTTTTATTTACAAACATTTGTAAATTTTCTGAATAAATTTATCATTTGCACGAATGTATATTTTTCGAAACTTTGAAGCTTCGAATGTCGAAAGCCTTCGAAGCAAATCACCAGCCCTAGTCCGGACTTATCGAGGATGCAAGCTGATCTCGCTAACGAGAGGAGATTTCGCTATCGCGAAAATATCACACGCATGCAGCGCGCGCGCAACGCCGCCGCGCCGATGCCGAAGTGAAAAATCTTTTCCGAGATGATTTTTTTGGAGATTGACGAGGGAGGGGGGGAGGCAGTTAGGCGGTCGTAACGAAACGCAGAGGAGCGCGATGTGAAAAAGGCAAGTGTCTGGATCGTTTTTCCCCCTCGCTGTTGGCGCAGCGCGCTAACAAGTAGCCATTGTGAGCCCCGTGTCAAGATGCTACTTGACAGTATACTCTCTCTCCCGGCGGACCCTCTTCAGGCCCACTCGCCCCCGTTCCGCCACGCCGCACAACCGGGCCGCGCACGGGATGTATGCTATATATATATATACACACGCACGCACGCACGCATCTCTGTGGGGTCCGCCGTGCTTAACTTTACGATCTTCGAAAATCCCTCAGGGCCCCGCTCGCGCACGGCTAATAGAACCGAAATTATAACAGGCCGATGAGCATGCGTCGACTGCTCTTATTCCGCCTCGCCGACGGATTCAGAAGAACCGTGAGGGAAAGAGAATCGGGAATCAGCGTAAAGAAAGAAACCGTGAAAAATCTCATTCCGGTGAACGTTCTTATTTACGAGCAGCTTCCTAGGCGATAATTTGGGTTGTTTAAGAAACTTGTATATAATTTCACGCCTCATTTCTCCTTTGATAAAATGATAAATGTTTTTTATACGCGTCGTTCTGCGATTCTCTTTTACGTGTACTATAATGCATTTAATGTTTTAAAAAATTAATTTTCTAGTAGAATTTGCATTGCGGATATTTACATTTTACGATGACTATTGTTTGTTGTCAATAAAAAAAAATTGAACGCTATACGATGATGCGAAGGTTCGGAATAAGTTAAGAATTGAATCCACAATTACACTTGTAAAAAAAAAGTTTAAGCGGAGCCACGTCAACGCGGCCACGCTCTGTTACGTCCGATCGAATTTAGTTTGCGATCGTCACGGTGATAAGAATAGAATTGAGTACAAAGGAGCCTCCGGTCACGTGGAGAAGCCAGATGCTCTCTTTCAGGATCGCAGAGGATATTATTCGAACTGTGCGCTGGTAAATATCGGCACAAAGAGGAGGTCGAAGATCTTATCCGTCATCGCGATCGTTGATAGGCCTAATAGCGTGCCGAAGGACGGTCGTTTTGAAATAATTACCAGTTCGTATCCGACGCCGATCTTTCCGGGTTCATTCGGATAAATCGCAGGATCAAAGGACGACGCCTCTCTTCGTCCGCCGTCTCTTTTCTCGCGAAATGCCGTTATAAAAAGTCCAGAGATTGTCGTGTTCGGCCCGATTAGCATGATTGATTTATCCTTTTTCACAACGAAGAAGAAAAAAAAACGAGAGATTCCTCTTTCGAGGGATAATTTGAAATTGTAAAAAATATTGAAACTACTCGGCCCTCTACAGCTCTTTTAACGCTGCGCGTTATAATCGAGGAGCTCGAGTGCGAAGTTTACGATTCGAGCCTCTCCTCATCTTCCGGGACGCATCCCCGTTACGTGGCGAATAATAAGTTTGATACCGTTACAATGCGATCATTACGCGCCGGTAATGACGGTGCATTCAGGCACGAGGCGAACTGCAACGCACCACCGGCCTGCCCTCGCATCTGCCCGATCTGCAACAATGGGCGTGCGATGCACCACCCCACGGAGTCTCGGGCAATAACACAGCCCGAGGATTAGCGTTTGAGTGGCAAAAAAAAATATTACTTCCGCGTGTTCATGTGTAACAACTATTTCTACTCTCAATTCCATCGTTGAAATATTTTTATTTTCGCACAGAGACGCCGAAAAAGAAAAAAGAAAGTAGCCCGATAAATTCTTACGAACGAATTAAATTCTACAAAGTAATATTATGAGATTGCTTACGTATACGAGTCGAGAACGATATATGCTTATAGGCTGGATCTACAATATGCTCTTTGCTTCCTGCAAAGAGCTCTTTACCTCTTGCTTTTTTCCCTCTTTGCGACCGTTTTATCGACAATCGTATTTCTTGTCATGTATTTCCTGTCTCTTTTCCGAAGTTTGTCAACATTTATCCCGGATGAAAATAAAAGATCAAGATATAAGTGGTAAAAAAAGATAAGGGTGGTAAAAGGTGGTAAAAAGTAAGAAACAAGGAGTACATTGTAGATCCAGCTTAATTACAAACAGAGAGAACTTTTCAAAATCAATTTCGAAACCAATTAAAACGATCTAAATGCTCGTCGTAAAGAAATATTTACCACCCGGATCTTGCTTGATGCGGAAACGAATTCTCTTTTAAGTCTCTTTCACGCACGCAAAAAAAATGACTTATTGTTAGTAATAGTAACTAAATTCCAATAGCTGAATCAAACTTAGCTATAAGAGCTACCGCCTTAGTGTCAGTGCTAAGTTCTGGCTATTACAGATAAAAAACATTTGCTGTGACAAAAAAATTTATTAACTGAAATTAAAAGCATATATTAGTACAGGCAGTTAAGAAGATGGCATGCGTACCTAAATGTCCTATCATGCACACATTTAGCACACAGAGCTAAGTTTATAGTTGCACGCGAAAATTTGATTTGTAATTGTTGTGGCACTGCCATATGCACATCTACAGCGCATTTAGCATTTATATTTTGCAGTATATAAGTTGTATACCGCAAATATTATTACTCAATTGCGACGATAAAATAGTATAGTATAGATTCGGCTAAATATCATTTGATTTTAGCAGCAAATATTTTTTACTGTAGCATCTACATTTTAATAACAAATAAATTGAACTTCGGCAGCAACGACATTACAGCCTATTTCAACATCTTAGCTATATATTTTAGCTTCATTGGCTAATCCTTATTCTGCGTGCGTAACAGGTAAAGATCGATTTCCTCGCGACGCTTACTATACGCGATATGCATCTCGACGCGAGCGCGACCGAGTTCGAGGCGGATTCGAGGATAAATCGATGCGCGTGTATAAATCCATTAACGCGCCACTTACGGGCGATCGATGTAAATTACGATGTTGGTAACGCTTAGACGGGCTTAGACGCGAGCGCGCGGACGAGCGGGGCGGGAGGGGCTTGGGAGGAGAGGGAGAGCGATTTCGAAGGGGGGAATATTTATGGGCAGACCGGCTGAAATTAATTTATGCAGCTGCATAGGCTGCCACGTAATTTATTCGCGGGGCTCGCGACGATCACTCACTCTCCTTCGCGGGCTTTTGTGTGTAAGGAAATCCCGGGCCATTAGAAACGGGCACGAAGGGCCGCCGCTGCCGCCGCGCCGCGTCGATCCTTCCTCCTCGAGCTCTCTTCCGAGTGTTGCTGCCCCCCCCCTGATCGAGCTCGTTGTGTTTCGCGAGCACGATTCTAAGCGCGAGATCGGCCCGACCGATGCCCGCGCTCGGAAAACGAAGAGGCCCACACGCCTCACCTCCGGACGGGCGGTGCAAAGTGAGAGATCTTCCGTCTTACAAATGTCGTTTCGATAGATCGCAATCTCTGGTTGATAAGAGAAAATATTTACCTTTACGATATACGTACCGTCTTGACTTTTATTTTATTGCCCGTGTGTCGTTATCATAATTGCCGTTATCGGCACGATCGGTACGCGGAGACTTCGTTATTTTTTATAGCTCGCGTCCTGCATAACGGGCGACTTCGAGACCGAGGGGAAACTGTATTTATATCCTTGCCGTTAAGATTTATATCCTTGTAGAATCCTATATGAGTACATGTAGACGTTTAGAGATCCACGATTTTCGGATGCGTCGGCGCGCTTTCGGGATTTTTCAAAAATCCAAGCCTTTTCTCGGTATATTATACGTGGCGCGTCAGCGACGCGGTGTGCATCCTCACGACAGCGCGGCCACGCTCCATCATCGGGGACGAGAAGGGTCCAGGAAGAAGGATCCGCGCTGCAGCGCGGCTGAAACAAGAGGGATCGTCTCGAGGAAGAGAGCCGGTGCGAGAGGATCTCGCGGCGAGATCTGCGCGGTGCACCCGCGTTATGATTTGTAGGCGTCCAGATCGTGATCCTGTCCGGCTGGCTGTACGGTTGGCTGGAGCGGAGCGGAGAGGGCACCCACGCTTTCCAGGAACCCGTCCGCCGCGTGGCGTCCGCGGCGTCCGGCCGCGAGGAAGGGAGAAGGTTGAAAAGAGGAGAGAGGTCCCCGCAGGAGAGAGAAAGAGATCAGCCGGCCCCGATTATGCCGAGGGTGTAAT